CTTCTCAATTGCTTCCTGGGACACGGATGTTCGCTTGTATTGGCAAGTTGTCATATCGTAACGTCTGTTTACTAACATGGTTGACCTCACTATTAATAGACCAGCTGTGTTTTCTTCCCTCGGTTTCAAACAACACTGGCCGATGATTACGCTAGTGGATTACTGTAAGATCATTGATACTTTTATTGGAAACGTGCTTTAAGCAGGTTTTGAAATTTCATCGGTCTCCAACCGTCCTCAGTTCCTTCCATCGCTCCAATAGACTAACTGCTTGCTGTGGATTATCTTTCGCGGTAGAGATGGCTTTCTACTTTTACTTATAACTAGGAAATTTTTAATAGCTATTTGGAGCCGATAACAGAAAACTTGGCGGCTTCGGCGAGATTCTAATTCTCGATAGCAAGAACATTGTAGTCTAGATGGTTAGAAGCTTAACTGCACATAGCCATGCTTTTACTGTTATGGATCAGAATCCCACCGAGGTCGAATTAGGAGCTGATACTTAGACGAAGCATTTGGGTGTTGTGACTGCAATTCTTAGGCTGTCCGCCTACCTAGGTGTTTTACTTTCTTAACAGCTGTCATAAGGCAATCAACAGTTGCAGGAAAAGCTTCCATGCGTGTTGCTTATGCATTAGATTTCGAAGCACTCCTTGAATAGTTTTCATAATCCAAATCCATGGCTCTTCCAGGGTCGCATGTTCATTGTTCGTACAATTACTCAGCGCTTTCGGGAGCCACAATATTGAACTTTCAGTTCATCTCTTATTTCTGACAGACCAAAAATAAGCAGCGTTTCTTGTGATCTTAGCTGCATTTTGTTCCCCAGTAAACTATCGCAAAATAAGCTCAGCATTTCGTTCGTTGATTGGATCACTACAAAGAGATCGCATGACCGGTTTTAGCCTGTCGCGCATGGCCGTTGACGATTAATCGATTCTTAAAGCCCTAACCAGAGGATAACAAACAGAAAACGTTTTGTGGCTATATCAATCCAGAAAGCCTGCTCGCCTGCAGCTCAATACCTAGGGATCTGCAGTCAGCTTATCAAATGCAACACAGTGACATAAACGACTCTTAAATGTATGAAACTTAAAAGCTTGGCTACATCAGATCTCGAGTCTCTAATGCGTTGGAAGTTAAGATGGCAAGTGGCCTTGCTCTGCAACTTTATTTGATACATTAGGACGCCGTGCATAGGGCTTTGGTGAATAAATGCAGCAAACCAGATACCCTTGTACATTTATGTGCAGGTTGTCAGTTATGCTATCCTGATATAAATGGACACCTTTAAACATTCTTTGCAAGTTTCACTTATCAATTAGCAGACTAACAGGAGCTGTAAAAAGTTCAAGGCCGAGATACAAAGCACAACAACTTCTATCCACATTTCAAAAATGAAACATAGAAATTGCTAGTTGGTTTTCGTGTGAATTACCTTGCGTTCTCTGTAGGAGACGTTTTTAATGATGTTCCAGGGGAAGGTGTACCGAGCCCGGTCGAGATGATCCTTTGAAAAGAGCTGGATTCCAGCGGCTGTAATGCCCAACCAAACTAATTCCGGATGCCTGTCCTAAAGGAGAAAAAGCTTTAATAGAGTACATATATATTGATAGGTTGGAATGCCGAGGCAGGCGCAATAAGGACCGTTTGAGAGTGGAAACCTAGTATTGCAGTCAGCCAGTTGTGTCATTAATTGTAATCAGATTGAGTTTAATTTTTGTGAGTTCAAAAATTGGAAAATTTTCTAAGGCGGGCTATCTGCACACAGAACTCGAGTATATAGCCAGCTATAGTAAATGCTCGAATATCGATATTTCCGGATATTTTTCGTCGGAAGTACAAGAGATGCACGGCAGAAGGCTAGTCTTGAAATTGCGGCCGAAACTTTCTTAAACTACAGCGAGTTCACCTCCTGGGGATAGAGGAACCGGGTCCGCAAATATGACAAGTGAAAAATGTGAAACCCCAAAGGGAAAGCTCCCGGTGCGTATAGGAAAGATTCGATAGTTTAGGAGTGTTTTTCAGAAAACTTTCCCGATTGCGTGCATTCTTCGTTTTTCCTAGCCTGTATCAGTTAACACGCCTCAGTTGAAATGAACTGCTGCCCAGCTGAGGTGTGACGTAGCTTGGTATTTGTTGATTCATTCCTGTCCTGAATAAACAATACCCCAAAATCGAATCGGAAAGCCGGGCTCTTGTCATTCGATCAAAAGCTCTAACAGAAAACATCGTTTACGCATTCACGCCCACACCACGCCGACAGGCAGACGCGCGTGCAGTGCTCGGGGCTCCAGAGCACCACTGAGTTCCTGTACACAATAAACAACTACTGGTCTTACTTCTTCCCTTCCTGTACGGAAATGGACTCCATAATTGTAGTGTTCTGAGCACACTTACGGCTTAGACCCCCTACACCCTGCATGGAAATGCAACAGCAAACCGGGCTCGGAATTCTTCAGCACTTGGCAAAGTTTGCTAAAACCTAAAGATAACCTTTAAAATTTTAAGGAAGACGTCGTTTGCTGTCAAGAAGACATCTCTTTAGGCCTGCTTTTCATAATATGT